AAAGCAATAATTAGCTAATTATGAGAAAATGGAGGCTTCTTTGTTGAGAGAGAGAGAGAAGAGAAGAGAACAAGAATGAAAGGAAAAAAAAAAACATTAAGTCTGTGTCCTATCCCCGAGCCAGCCCCCTTTCCCCTTACACCTGTATAATGGTCTGTGAGACCGATTAGAAGACCAATATTATTTTCTATTATCTAGTGTAGCTATGCCTTTTTTCTTCAGTCTCAAACAGCACAAGTCTTATTTTTATCAATGGGCATTTCCTCTAGGTAGGAAGCCTGTTCTGAGGTTTAAGATTACACTGTCAATTTTTTTTTTCTGAAGTGTACTGTATCTGTTTGATTACGGGTTCTTCAATTACTTTAAAATATACTAAGGTCAGGAGAAGGCAGGAAAGTGTCCATTTAGACACTGGATCAAATCTAGGTTTAGAAAACACTCTCTTAACTGTCCCGTGTTAGGGGTCCGTTGAATAAAATGATAGATACTTTGTGTGTGTGAGGTTCTGTTTGCACACATCGATGAAAATATGTGATTGTGATGAGACTTTCCTAGTATTGGACTAAGAGAACTGGGGAACGTGGCCCTTGTTATCAGTGATAGCCATTCCCAGCTGTAGATTCGGCAAGATTGTATTTCAGTGTGGCTGCAGCTTCCCTTTCACACGCAAAAAAAAAAAAAGTGCTGCTTGTGTTGAACACTTGGCCAAAATCTTCTTGGAACTTCCTTCAGAGAGAGCTGGCAATTACTATTAAGTCAGTTTTACTGTACTCACCCAGCACAGTCCTCTGCTGCAGGTGCTCACTACATGCTGACTGGCTGGACTGGTTTTAAAAACACTGACACCTTCAGGTATGACAGGAAGTCATCCCTGGAGGCAGCTGTGCAGGAGGCTGCAATTCTTCTCCCATTCTCAGTTTCCAGGCTCTCAGCATAGAATCAGAATGATGCTACCTGCATTGAGCTCATGTGGCTTGTGTGTCTGTCCTGGTTTTAGTTTTAGGCATCTTTGGTCGGTGACAGAGAAGGACCTTTCCAAAGTTTGCCCTTGAGGGGACTGTGGCTCCCTGAGGAACTCTGAAGGGCTGTTTTGTCTAATAGGCCAAGTTGTGTATTGCATTGGGGGGCTGCGGCTTTCCTTTAGTAGGTTGCAACACCAAGGCAAAGAGAGGTGCCCTGAGCTAGGAAGGAAGTCGCAGCTGCTGAACAGGAAGAATCCTGGGCTGGCACAGGGAGTGTGAGGGTAATCAGTCCTGCCAGGCGGGGGCTGTTTACTCTGCAACCCTATGGCTGGTGGACTCTAGGCGTGGTGGGTGTGCTTGCTAAGTACCTGTTTGTAGGACACTGAGACGGGCAGAGCTATGGCAGCAGTAATATGAAACCAGTCCTGTTGGTTTTCTTTCTCCCCAGCTGGCAGCTGAAATCTGCATTCCAGATGAAACCCACAGGGAAGCAGGGTAGGGGGTGGATGTACTCCCCAGGGCAGTAAATTATCTGCTTTTTTAAAGAGTTCTGGTCATTTAGAATTGGCCTCTTTTCTTTTTCTACCTTTGTTTATTTGGTGTGGGCTTTGTGAATGGCAAGGGATCTGGGTGGGCAGCTGGTTTCTTGTCCTGGGCGGCTCAGGATTGCCTTCAGGATAGAAAGGAAGGCGGGTTTAGAAAGCATTTTGGTCATTTTTCTGCTGATTCACTTCTGAATCCCTTGGGCAGTCCCAGGGAGGTGGTGGTTACGGCTGTCGTCAGGGACCGGTTTGCAGGCTCAGCACTTTCAGGAACCTCCACTTGCTCACCAATGAGGAAGTTGAGTGCAACCAGGAGAACCACAGGCAGGCGCTGGGGCGGAGCTCCTGGTGAAGTCCTGGGCTGGGATTACAGGGCAGACTGACTTTCCCTCCGACAAAAAGCCTTTTGTACACGGGGATAAATACGGAAGTCCCAGAAGAGCCGGCTCACGGGTCACTGTGTGTGTATGTGTGTGTAGTAAGGTGCGCAGCTCCAGGGCACGGAGCGCCACCAACGTTTGATAGTTGACTAGGGCGGGCCGTCACCAGGCACACCGGAAGGAGGGCGCCGTGACTCCGAGAGGCCAAGGGTGTTCGCTGAGCAGTCTAGAGCCTGGCTGCCTCCCACGTCCTGTTGCTCTCTGTCCTGGAAGTTAAGAGCAGATGGAGTGGATAAACTGAGAAAGAGCCGGGGAAGGTAACACGAGCCACAGCTTCCACCGAGGGCACGGCTGGGACATGGAGGAGGAGGGTAACTCTCCGAATGGCAGTGATGTCTTGGGACCAGAGAAACCTGAAGCTGGACTTGAAATGGCTCAGTCGATCCTGAGTAAGTTTTCCATGAAATCCCTGTTTGGATTTACCAACAAGTTGGAAGCTGTGAAGCCCGGAGAGGAACAGGCAGTGCTGAAATCATTTCGCAGTTTAGACGGGGATCCCACGCCTGGGCAGGATGAACCCAGCAACAGCTCAGAGCAGCAGGAGGCAGCGGCTGTGGTTCCACCTGACCCTGAAGATGGTGGGAAGACTGCAAGGGTGGAAATAGGATCCGAAGGAAGTCAGGGTAAAGCAGAAGCAGAGACTTCTCTCCCTGGCCAAGAACTTGTCCCTCAGGATACTTTGAGTGTGGACAAAGATGAGACCATTTGTGCACGGGGGACCCTCGTGCACACCACCAGTGATTCTGACTCTGATGATGGTGGCCAGGAGCCAGAAGAGGGAGGCAGAGCTAATGGCCCAGAATCTCCTGATGTTGTATTATCTGAGACCTCCCAAGAATCTGAAGAAAAATTAGAAGATTCTGGGGAAAACGCTGCCGTTGTGGAAGCGGAAGATGCAGAGTCCCGTACAGAGGATCCTCCAAGGACTCCACCTGAAGGCAGTGGGAAACTGCAAGTTGGCCATGGTGGTTTGGCAACAGAGCAGAGTCCTACCCAGGGCCAGGCTGGAGAAGAAGGATCCTCCCTTGCATCTGCAGCAACAGACCAGAATTTGAGTGTTGATGTTATTAGGAGTGCTGCTTCTAAAAAGGAGGGCCCCGGAGAGAAGTCATTCCAGCTTCCAGCCTTTTTTAGTGGACTTCGTGTGCTAAAGAAGGGGGCGATGGCTGAGGGAGGTGAGACCATCACTGAAATTAAACCAAAAGATGGGGACCTGGCTTTGCTCAAGTTGACCCAGCCTGTTCATAAGTCCCTAGGGCAGGCAGGGCCCCAGACAGTGAGGAGTGGGGAGAAAACAACGGATCCTAAGGCCACTCCCACTCTCCTGGAGCAGCTCTCTCAGCTGCTCAACATTGACATGCCCAAAACTGAGGGGAAAGCAGCGGACCCTGGCTCGCCCAAGGAAGAGATGGGCTGTGGTGCTGACCAGGAGATCCCTGGTGACCCCGGAGAAGCCCATACCCAGGGTGGCGAAATCAAGCCAAAGCCACCGGAGACTGCCCTGGAGGCCTTTAAAGCCTTGTTCATCCGTCCCCCCAAAAAGGGGACCACAGCTGACACCTCTGAGCTGGAGGCCATCAAGCGCAAGATGAGACATGAGAAGGAGTCCCTGAGAGCTGTGTTTGAGCGGTCCAAGTCCAGGCCAGCGGACAGCCCGTCTGATTCCAAAAGTGTATGTAGAATTGGGCTTTGCATTTCATCGTAAAAATGGCTTGCTGTAGAAGGGAATGTCAGTTAGCCCTTGGTGGTGGTCTCTTTGTAGGTGAAAAATGTTTAGAATGCGGTGAAATCACCTGTAAAAGAAGAATAGAGTTGGACAAAAATGCTTCTCTCTCTTCCTCATATTTTTTCTGGAATATTGTAAGAGATTTATGTGGGCTTTAGGAAGACTTGTCACTCTGAGTTTAAGCATTTTAAGTGAATGTCCTTGTAAAAACTCACCAGCATGGGATGTGAGGCAATAAGGATGCACAGCACAATTTTACAGGAATTTCCTCACAACTTAATTATACCTTTGTAAAAACAGTATTTTTCCTTTGAAAGTCTGCCATCTTGCAAACTGTATTTGTGATTTTGTTTAAATGTTCTGAGACTTCTTGACTAAACACTAGTTTAGAAAAAGACCCAACTTTTAATTCTCTAAAATTTACAGACTTGGTGGCCATGATCATTTCTGAGCATCAATCTTTCCATGTGTAAAATGAGGAAAGTAATCCTTATTTTTTTGTGGTTGATATGAGGATTATTTTAAGTTAGTGCATAAGAGGTATCTAATTAGTGGGGATTATTGCTGTATGAAAAAAAATTATTAATTTTTAGAACCCCAAATCCAGTAGATCTTAAAGATTCATGAGAACAAAAAATAGAATTTCTTGCTTAATTTCTGATCCCTCTGTGACTGTGACTCTCTGTCATGCAATTAATATGATAGTTAAAATGTTGAAAGTTATCTTGGATTGTAGTTTAAAACTAAAGATAACACAGCATTCTCCCAGTTGTAAAAATCAGTTCCTATAAAAATAATTTGAACGTGAAGGCAACCTCATTCATTCATCTTCTGAGTAGGAAAGAAAAGAAGAATTGAAATTATCAGTGTTGGATCCCTACTGAAATATGTTTTGGTTTATTGTTAATATTCATGGAAAAAGTCAATTTAGCCCTTGTTGTTATACATAACCCTGGAGTAGTTCAGACAGTATTTGGAATCATTCCCACCATGTACCTGAATGTAATATATTTGAGTCTTTGTCTTCATCTCAAGGTATGTTTTTGCTTTTTGAAAAGTTACCTCATAAATAGTTGACTAAGGACTATATGATTCTTACCCTTGAGTATTCTGTTTGTTCATTTTCACTCCCAACAACTGCTTTACATCTCTGAAAGAGACTCGAATAAGTAGTAGGATGTTGAGGCTGTAATTGACACTATAGTGGATGAAAGCAGTGTGCAACTAATAATTAATCCTAGCTTTAAAATCTGCCATGTTTGTTTTCAGGAATTCACCAGCTCTGACCGCATTTCATTGAATTTACTCATTGTCCTTTTTTCCCCCACAGCCTGACCAGAGTCCCACAGAGCAGGATGACAGGACCCCTGGTAGACTCCAAGCTGTCTGGCCACCCCCGAAGACAAAAGATGCAGAAGAAAAAGTGGGATTGAAGTACACGGAAGCAGGTAATGTGAAAGGAAGCCAGGTGCTGTGCAATGAATCTCTTCCTGCAGCAGCTTGTAGTTCTGACTTAGTAGACTCTCAGAATTTGGAGTTTTGTTTCATTGTAAGATATAATGTAGAAAGCTTCTCTTTCTCTTTTGGTTGTTAAGGTGAGTGAAAGGGCCGTAGCGCGATGAATGGAAACGGGCATGTGTGTAACACAGAAGCTTGGGGGAGGTAATGGAGAAGGTATGTTGCAAATTCCTCAGGAAACAGGTGGTTGGCGCTCATGTAAGATTTGTGTGAGCTGGCAGTGCTGCTGGAAGAGGCTGAGTACGATTCTCCAGAGCTGAAATCTGATTTGTTGTTTGTCTCTGAGTAATGCTCCTGAGATAAAGGAACCTTGTGCAGAGCGAACCTACAGATACCATATCAGTTTCTTGCTCCCTCTCTTTAGACAAAAGCTTTCTTTACTGCATGGCCAATTTTAAAGCAATCTAACTCTCTGGAAAACTTCCCAGGAACTTTACTTGAGTCTATTTAAATCCAGTAGAAATCTAGATATTTTTACTTTTAAAGTGATAGGTTCACACAATTTTTTTAAGTGGTCAGAGAATTTTAGAAAATTGCATGTGTGCACAAATGTATGTGTGCGTGTATTTCTGATGAAATCTTTGCTTTCTTTTGATACTTGAAGATTACTTACTCATGTTTTATATTTTATTGGTTTTCATAGGTGTGTGTATATACCGGCCAGCTTATGCTTATAGAAAAATACTTACTGTCATTCCTCATTAATAAGAAATAGACTGAAGTTTGATATCATGTCTGTAATTTAGACACATTCACAGGTGATTCTTGGGATTGTTTCTAGTCCGCGTTTATGCAGTTGGAAACTTGGGATTTCCCAACATATTAAATACTTCATAGTGTTTTTTCTGTTGGCGCTCAGCTTGATAGATTGAACACTGTCATATCCTTAGGGAAAATATGCACGTACAGTTGTTTTAGGCTTCTTGCTGCTAGTTAAATTCCCCCAAATTTTAGAGTTTATGGTTACAATATTCGACTACCTACCAAGCTATTTTTCTCATGATGTGGTAAAATGTAAGTGACTAAACATTCTGAAATTTATATAATAAAAGCTATAATCCTGTGAATTCTTATTCCTAGTATATATGATGAGTTTCAGTTTTGCCCTTACCAAAGACAATATTATGGTGCTCTTCTTTGTAATAATGGGCTTTTGCCACAAAAAGAAGGAAAGGATTTTTTTGTTGTTGTTTTACTTCATGTTGAGTAGTATTTGGACATGCTCTTCGGATTCTACAGATATCCCTTAGTTCTTGCTTATTGTCCTGTTGCACTTCCAGGGTTTCAGAGCGGCCTTGTCACTGACCTTTGCAGTGACTTTCTCAATCTTTCTTAGTATTCTCAGTATTTCTTAGTATTATGAAAAGTAGCTCTGAGTCCACATTTCATAATACTAAGAAAGCTACTTAAGGTCTTGAATGAAACGGGGAAAAGCCGAAGGCAGGAATAGGCTGATAGCGCTAGTTGTGTTGGGAGGTGACAGCATCACTACACAGAGAGCACAGGTGACAGTCTCAAGGACAACGGGTCTGGCTCCCCAGCCAACTCCCTGGGTGACAGGCAGTACTACGACATATTTACTGAGCTCCTGATCAAGGCTCAGTTTCTTGAAAACCTTCCAGATGCTCTTTAATCCAGCGGTGTGTTTCAAAGAAGAGTAAAGTCCTTCAGTCCTGCAGCAAACTTATTTTCTACCACATTACTGTATATCAATATATGGTTGCCTTATTTATTGCTAATCTTGAGGAAGTTGACTTTACCTCTGGGAAACTGGATACTTAGAAACATTTAGTTTATAGTTAAACATATTTTGTGGACCTTCCATTGGTTTCCTCACCTTTACAGAAACAAAAAATTTACCATACTGTGGGGAACACAAAGATGGAAATTAGACCTGAGATAGTGCAAGAAGGTCAAAGTCTTGTGTTTTTGTCTCTTCCGTTTTCCTTACTTTTTAGTGGTAAGTCACTTATCAGATTAGTGATATGAGGGCTAAGACACTTGCTGTTTTTGTTTCTTATGTGCTATTATGATTCTGTGCTGTTCATCCCAACCCAGTCCTTGGCAGGGCTGAGGAGTAGATGATGCTGGTCATCATCACCCCACATCCTTACGCTGGCACTCAGCTACTTTGGACTTGATCCTGCTTTGGTTTCTCCATTTTCAGTGATCAGGATATATTTAACCTATATTTTTTAGCAAAACAATAGACTTATTTAAAATGTTCTTTCTTGGGCCTGGCACTATAGCCTAGTGGCTAAAGTCCTAGCCTTGCATGAGCCAGAATCCCATATGGGCTCCACTTCTAATCCTGGCAGTCCCACTTCCCATCCAGCTCCATGCTTGTGACCTTGGGAAAGCAGTCAAAGAAGGCTCAAAACCTTGGGATCCTGCACCTGCGTGGGAGACCTGACAGAAGCTCCTGGCTTCTGGCTTTAGATTGGCTCAGTTCCAGCCGTTGTGACCGCTTGGGCAGTAAACCATCAGATGGAAGATCTTCCTCTCTGTCTCTCCACCTCTCTGTATATCTGACGTTGCAATAAAAATGAATACTCTTTTTAAAAAAAGGTTCTTTCTTGTTGCTACTCTGTGATTTTCTTCCATTTAGAATCTATCATTGAATATTTTTTTAAGAAAATTTCTAATAGTGGAAATTAAATGTCAGTGGCTAAGATGGCTTTCCCCTGCTACTCCCAACCCTATCGGCATCACTTGCAACTACTAGTACTACAACAACTTTCTTGGCAGCTACAACCTTTGACTCCTACTACTCCTACTAGAGCCTCCAAGGCCATTCTGATGATACTGTGCCCACCACTGAGGCATTACCACTTGTCTGAGCTCTTGTTGATGTTGCCAGTTGAATTGTACCAGTGTTCTCCAGAGCTGTTAATGAAGTGACTGCTGCAGGTGCTGGAACTGGGGAAATGGAATTCGCAGCATTAATTTACCCCGTGCCTGAATTGTTGCACTCAAATGAAGCAGAATTTCCCCCATCTCTTGTGTTGTGCTTTCTTGCGTTGTTGCTCTCATTGTGATTCTGCCCCGTATTTATAATGCCTGATAGAATGTTGGCGTGGAAAGAATCCTCTGTCCTCTTTTTCTTTGAAATGAGATTGGAATAATCTGAATGACAAACTCCATGCTTCCCTGAGAACTGGCTTTGCTCTCTGAGTGCAAGCTTGTAGCCTGATCTTGGCTTTTCTCTGGAGCACTTGCATTTGATTTTTCAGTAGGCTCTTTGAGATCCTTAAGCAGTTAATAAACTCCTGGTGACTTCATGTTACCATGTCTGTGCTGTATACCAGACAGATCTGAATCAAGTAAACTTGATTAGAACATGAAGCTTGGGGTTAATTTAAAGCTGAAGTTTGGAAAAACGGAAAGGTGTTTTGTGATGCAGTTCAGTGTTGTGTGAGACTTGGTGAAGGAAACGGCCTGAGCCGCCCTGACCTGCCGTTGTCCCCATTGCTTAACTCCAAGGTCAAAGGCCTGGAAACCTCTTCACACTGTCTTTTGGGCAGCTGACCAGGCCTAGAGTGGTGGATCATCCTCAGCAAGGTCACACTGCCAACCATGAACAGCCAGCAGGCCCCATGGGGGATGCTTCCAAAGGCTGCCTAGAGAAAAGCCTGCCTTGTTCTCCCTCACAGCACTGGTTCCTACTATAAGGGCATGGAACACACTACTGTTTTTATTATCCTATGGGTTATATATTTTCTACTCTGAAGAGGACAGAGAAATTAGAATGACTATTATTCAGAACTTCATTCTACAGATGTGTGTGTGTATAAGGATTTATTTACTGGTTTCAGAAATCTCTAAGTTTTAAATACTTCCCTAAATTACAAATATAATAAAATAAAATAGAATTTTGAGATTAAACACAAAAATGACAAAGCCAAAGAAAATTTCCGTGATTCTGTTTCATAGAAATCATTGTCAACATTCTGAATGTGAATTAATGACTAATGGTCTCTATGAGTTAAACACTAAAAAAATAAATTTAGATAATACTTTTCTCATTTGAACAATTTAAACGATTTTAACACATATGGCCAGTGATTTTATAGAAATTAGATTATTTTATACTATTAAAATATATCATAAATAATAATCTTACAAAAAACTATGGGCCCAGCATGATAGCCTAGTAGTTAAATCCTCACCTTACATCTGCTGAGATCCTATATGGGCACTGGTTTGTATCCCTGTTGCTGTACTTCCCATCCAGTTCCCTGCTTGTGGCCTGGGAAGGAAGTAGAGGATGGCCCAAAGCCTTGAGATTTATTTTTTTTCTAAATTGCCAACAAATTTTAAAGTGGAGCTTTAGAATAATTAGTCTTTGACAATAGTAAGTTTAGAATCGTTTTGTATTGTCTATTGTCTTTGATATGCTTGCGTATTGTACTAATATCTTAATCATTGGAGCATTACAATACATCCCCAAATGAGCCAATTTATGTTTTTTGTATGTGTGTACTTCTTTCTCTCCTTAAGATTTATTTATTTATTCATTTGAAAGATCCACAGAAAGAAAGGTCCTCCATCTACTGGTTTAGCTCCAAAGTGGCCTCAACAACCAGAGCTGAGTTGATCCGAAGTCAGGAGATAGGAGCTTTTTCAGAGTCTCCCATGTGGGTGCAGAGTCCCAAGGCCCTGTGCCATCCTCAGGTACCTTCCCAGGTCACAAATGGGGAGCTGGATGGGAAGTGCAGCAGCCAGGACATGAACTGGTTCCATATGGGATCCTGGTGCAGGCAAGTTGAAGACTTTAACCTCTAGGGTACTGCATTGGGCCCTTGTGTACTTCTTTTCAAAAATAGTTTTGAGGACCAATGATGTGGCATGGAAGGTTGAACCACTACTTACAGCCTCAGCAACCTAAAGGGGGAGATTTTTGAGATGCAGCTGTTCTACTTCAAGTAAT